CTGCACCTGCAGTCACACGAGAGAGCAGGAATTGCTCTGGGCGAAAAGAACAAAAAACGGTGAGATTCGCACAATCTCTTGTATCACTTGCCGTTGGCCTACTGCCAACTTGCGCTCTCTTATGGACGTGTGCACGTGTGCTGGCTTCCTGCGCGAGTGTGGACACCATTTCCCGCAGCGCTCTGTGTGTGTGTGTGTGTGTGTGTGTGTGTGTTTTCTTCTCATCTCTGCCCTTCTCCCGTCCCTTGTGGGGCAGTAGTAGGTGAACGCACACGCACACGCACACGCACACGCACACGCACGCGCACGCCTACGCACACACACACGCGCGCGCATGTTGGCTCGCACTGGCCCCATTCCACCCTGCCTGCTGTGTGCATTTCCCCCATGTCTGCTTCCCTCCTTCTACCTCCACACACACACACACACACACACACACACACACACACACACACACACACACACACACACACACACACACCCAGAGCCATCTTCACCCCGGCAATCCGCTGCCCTCTTGTCGCTCACTTTGGCTCGGCTGCTGTGGCGTTTGACCCTTCGCAGGCACGATGGACATACGCGTGGTGTCCATCACGGACGCGCGTATGGAGAATCTGAGGCTGTCCAACGAGAAGGAGTGTGCGGTTCCGCAGGACGTCATCGACACCTTCGTTGCGTGCACGCACGTGGCGGTGGCCATTGAGTCATCAGTTCTCATGGAAGATGCAGAGGTGCAGCAGATGGAAAAGTGGGGCGACACCTTGTATTGCCCCATTGTTGCTGTCACCATTCGCCCCCTGAGCGCCAACAGCCCTGACGACGACCACAGCCACATCGACAGCAGCAACTTCAGGCCCGCCTGCTTCCTTCGCCGTGTTGGTGATGGGAACAGCAGCATCATCCATGGTGGTGGTCGTGGTGGTGGCAGCGAGTACATCGGCGAGGTGCACGTTGCGTGCGCCGACCTTGGTGATGGTGCACGGTTTGCCTGCGACTTGGTGGTAGCTGTGCCGCGTCTTCACATGCCGCTGGTGGTGTTGGCTGGCCCCCCTGCGTCGCTCGCAGCGCAGCTGACGGCGGTTCGCCGCGAGTTGCTGCAGGGGGTGTACGTCCCGCACAAGTTTGCATGCGTGCAAGCCCCACCCAAGGCGCGGCGCAGTGGTTCCCGCCGTGCTGTGCCGTCCACATACCGCATTGTTGCGCTTGTGCGCACTGAGCTGAGCAGCATGGGGGATGTGCCGAATGATCGTGGCGACGGCGCCGTCTGCACGCAACTTCAGATGGCGTGGCGCACAGTGCCCGTCATTGTTGCAGCCATCGTGCATGAGGCACGGCGGGCGTGCATGCGGTCCACGGTGAGGGCACACGACGCTACCCAGGGGTGGCTGCGGCAGCTTGGGAAGCGTGTGGGCAAGCTGCTGCGAGCACTGCGCAAGCAGAGGAACAGGCGCATGGTGTCTACGGCAGCAGAAGACGTGGCCCACGTCCGCAATCGCGCCCGCATCGATGCTGACACCCCTGACATTAGCGCCGTGACGAGCATTGCGGGCACGAGTGGCGGGGAGCGCATGTCTGCGGTGCACAGGCTCGTGGATGCTGTTGTGCAGCAGCCCGACATTCTTGTGGCCACTGTGGACGACGCAGGCTGCAACGCGCTGACGTGGGCGTGCAAGATGAAGGACCGAGATCTTGTCGCCCTGCTGCTGACGCTCGGGGCGGACCCTGTGCTTGCAGATCGGAGGGGCGTGCTGCCTGGTGGGGAGGACGCCATTGCGAAGATTATTGATGAGTTCTGCTTGTGCGTGGAGCCGTTCGTGGGTGTTGGAAACTCTGTCGACCAGCATGGCCAGCCGCTTGGCCCCGAGATCTTCACCCCTCCACCGCGAACGCGAGGTGTGCGCTGCTGTGTGGTTGTATGTGTGCGTGCGTGTGTGTGCGTGTGTGTGTGTGTGCGTGTGTGTGTGTCGTAACAATATAATTGTGCACGTGTTCCTGGTTTCGTGTGTCAGTTTTTCTCCTGTCTGAGTTCACACTTGACACGTGTGCTCACTGCTCTTGTGCTGTGGTGTGCGTTGCTTGGTCCATCCAGTGCAACCCTCGGTGGAGGCACGGACAACAGCGGCATCGGCTGCAAGGATGACCGAGCGGCTGATACGCCGGGTTCGTATGGTGGATGAGCATGAACGGGCAGTACCCGCTCTTGCCGCCAGCGGCCCTCTGCAGCAGCCGGGAGGTGAGCATTGCAATTGGGAGTATGTTCGTGCATGCATGGGGCTGTGTGTGTGCGTGTGTGTGTGTGCGTGTGTGTGTCTTGTGTGGTCTTGTGTGCGCGTATGTTATTGTTCCTTCACTCACATTGCGTACCCTTGCGTTGTGCGTTGCTCCATTCAGCGTCACCTCCCGTGAAGACACAGCAGCATCATCAGATCGTCAGCGTCGACTGCCGCACGTGCCACTCAGCTCCCGCGTCAGCGCAGCAGCAGCAGGAGGAGGAGCAGCTGG